TGCAGCATTTATCACAATTGCAAGGACACAGAACCAACCTAAATGTCCAAAAAGTGATAACTGGTTGAAAGACTGTGGTACAGGTATACTATGGAATACTACTCAGCCATAAGAAGCAATGAGACCCTATCATTTGATTTAAAGTGGGTGAATATAGAGGACTTAATGTTGAGTGAACTGAGCCAGACTTTGAAAGACACGCACTTCATATCCCCACTTAATATGTACCAAATGTCGGCACCCTGTGACGGAAATTGAGAGACCCGAAGATATGATGTAGCAAGCGTAAGTGTAAATACCAGAGACTCTCAGGAAGAGGAGTGGGAGATAGAGAACTGTGGTAGAAGATGAGCAGGAGGGGCAAAGGGAAGAAACAGATAATGGACAAAAGAATGTAAGGTTCTCTGTTAGAAAAAACAAACACGGTCTGTATTTTTTTGTTTACAAAATAAATATATAAAATAAAAATGGTTAAGATAGTAAATTTTGCTATGTGTATTTTACACACACACACACACATACCCCACACATATTTATATAATATATGAAGCTAGGAAAATGTATGTTAACTTTTTTTTTCCATTATTGCTCATCCCACAAATCCCCTTTACAGACTTTTTTATAATCATCTCCCTCCAAAGAAATACTAATGCCAAAGATATACCGTATATGTGCTTATGTGCATGCCTGTGCTTTATATAGAAAAATAACATTTTCCCCCCCTGGAATACCTACTTTTCACCTGGGCATTATTACAATTATTACCATTAGGCTATAGGGATATGAGATTGAACTCTATGAGAGCAAAACATAGGATTTTTTGCCTGATATATGTTAAAAACTACAGGTAGAGATTAAAAATCACAGATTCTAAAAGACCTGTGTGCAAAGTATCAAAAATCACTCATCCATCCTTGGGACTAGCAGATGGCATAATGGTTACGTCGCTGGACTCCCATGTAGCCAACAATAGTTTGAGTCCTGGACCCAGCGGCTTGAGACTCATACTGGGTGAATGCATGCATGCCCAGAATCCCAAGAGGAGAATGGAGGAGAAGGGATTGTGGTGTGGCTGTCTCCCCAGGGGGCTATTTCCTGCTTTCTATCTTTCTGTCTCTTTCTCTCTAATGAGTGCATGTGCCTTGTAGGAAAAATATCTCTCAAAAAAATGCATTCATTCTTTTACAGAACAGATATTTTCTAAGCATCTACTGAGTTTTAGGCTTTGAGCTGAGCTATAGGAATACAATGATAAACAAAATAGGCCTGTTCCTTTCTCATAGTAATTTACAATCCAGTGGATGAGACAAATACTGGTCAAAAAAAAAAAATCACACAACTAAATGTAAAACAGCGACATTAGTTAAGTGTCGTGAAAGAGAGATAGAGATACTTGGAGCTATAGAGAAGAGAAATTTCCTAGGGAATTGATTGAGTTGAGGGCGGGAGATAAAGAGGCTTTAATTAGGCAAGGAGGAGAGGGAGACCTTTCCACAGAGTAGGGACAGTCTGTTTAAAGGACTGTCGTCAGTTGCAGCATGGCACCCTTAAGAAGTCAAAAGAAGACACAAGTGACTGGGACACAGCAAGCCAGGTGCAAAGTGATGCAAAAGGGAATCAGCCCGGGGTTCCTCATCCTTGGCATTATTGACATTTGGGTCTGAGAACTCTTTGTTCTAAGAGGCTGTTCTGTGCATTACAGGATATTTGGCAGCAACCTTGGCCTCTAGCTACTAGATGCCAGTAATATTTCCCAAAAAATGTCTCCAGACAAGGCCATATGTCTTCTAGAGGCAAGATCACCCTTGGTTGAGAGGCACTGAACTAGAGACAGGCATGGGCTAGATGGTAGAGGTCCTGTTAAGGAGTTTTGGGTTATTCTGTGAGCAATGGGAAGCATTTTAGAGATCTTAAAAGGGAAATGACATCATAAGAACTGCATTTCTAAAGGATCCTCTGCTGGAGGTGAGTGAAATGGAGAGAAGAGAACTCTGAAGCCAGAGGAGACATGAATAGGCCAATTAAGAAGCTAGACCAGTTTAGAAACCAGTCCTTGTGAAAGACAAAACGAGCTTAGACCAGGGCGGGGCAAGTGGAGACAGAAAGAAGTAGACGGATTTGAAAGACAGGAAGTCAAACCAACAGGACAGGGTGATAAATTGGACACATAGGGTGAGGCAGAAAGAGACTTCAAGGATGATTCATGTTAGAGGAAGTGGATGGGTGGTGGTGCTATTTGCTAAAATGAGCTCTAGATGGCCTAGATTCATGGGGGACGATCACATAATTTAATCATGTTAAAGCTGAGGCACCTTTGAGGTACCCAGGAGCTAATGCCAAATGAAGAGTTGTGTATGTGGGTCTAGACCTCTAGGAAGCCTGGATCTGAGAGCATTTGGGGAGCATATGGTCTAAAAATGCTCATTACAGTTGTGAAAGTGTATGTATCTCCTAGGGAAGGAATATAAGAGGGAAAGACAAGGTCCTAGAATGGTGCTTGAGTGCGGCTATCATCTGCTGATCTCAAAGAGAAAAATGCACCTCAGGGAATCAGAGAGGGAGTGGCTCGAAGCTGGCAAGATCATGGAGAATGTGGAACATCAGATGACCAGAGAAGAGACTGAGTCAAGTAGCAGAGAGTGCTGAGTCAGAGGCAGAGGAGAGGTTACATAAAATGACTCAAGAAAATCTGTTGGGGTCAGGCAGTGGTGCAGTGGTAACACAACTGAACCCACATGGAAAAGGTCCCAGGTTCACATCCTAGGAATCCTGGGATCTCCCTGAGGATCCTGAGAGTGCCCAAATATCCATGATCTAAGTTGGCAGAGATTGGGGGTATTCTGTGAGCAATGGGAAGCATTTTAGAGATCTTTAAAAAATTCTGAGAGGAGAATGAAGATATATCCCCTGTTTTGGGGGGATATCTCTCTCTGTCTCTCTCATGGAAAAAATCAATAAGTAAACAACAACAAAAAAACGAGAGTCTGCTGGCTGTAGAACAAAGGTTGGCTGGTTTTCGATCTTAGTGAGAATGGTTTGTGTGGCTTAATGTTAAGGACAGGGGCCAGGAAAGAATGAGTTGAGGAGTAAGAGGTGAAGAAATGAAGATAGTACAGTTAACATCTTGGGAGGTTAGATCATGAGGGAGAAGCGAGACATAGAGTGGGACCTGAGACAGGGCGTGAGGATGTTTTAAAATGGGAGGGAACGTGTTTCAGTGTATTGGGAAGAATCCGGATGAGGAGACTCGGGTATCCAAAAGGGAGGAGTGAGGCTTTTGAGGTGGAAGAGAATGGGATTAAAATGGGATTCCAAGCATGGAGAGGCAATGACCTTAGAGAAAAGATTTTTGGGCATGCATGCAAATGCACCCGGTGTGAGTTTAAGCCATCCGGTCCAGGACACGAACTGCAGTTGACTACATAGGAGGCTTCCGCTGAGATTGAGGGGAGACTGGCCATAGGAGGGAGTGAGTTCAAAGCTTTGAGGTGGGTGCAGAAGTTTGAATTTATGAGAATTATTATTAGAATAATGATTTGTAGTAAGCAGCAGAGCCTCAGTTATCAAAGAAAAATGACATATGATTGAAATACTTCTTACTGTATTTGTTTCCTAGGAATAGCATAGAAGTGCCACTAACTAGGTAACTCACAATGACGGAAGTTTATTCTCACAGTCCTAGAGGTCCCAAGTTCAAAATCAAGGCATTGGCGGGCCATACTTTCCCTCAAAGCTCTAGAGAAGATCCTTTCTTGCCTTGTCTAGCTTTGGTAATAGCGCAAATGCACCCGGTGTGAGTTTAAGCCATCCGGTCCAGGACACGAACTGCAGTTGACTACATAGGAGTTCAGCGACAGCCATTAAGCTAACTGCTGGTCCCCTCCAGCATGAGTTTTAAGTCACAAGGTCTGAGACTCAAACCATGGTCAACTACATGGGAGTTCAGCAATGTAACCATTATGCCATCTGCTGGTCCCCACATCACTCAAACTTCGACCTCTGTCTTCTCTTGGCCTTTTTTTCTATGTGTCTATCTCCAAATTTCTCTCTCTCTCTCTTTTTTTTTTTATAGAGGTTTTTGCTATAGGTCATGTGTGCTTGCCAGAAAGAGAGACAGAAAGCGAGAAATCACCCCCCGGTGGTGGTGGTGGTGGGGGGATGGCCACGCCGCAATCCCTTCTCCTCCATTCTCCTCTCGGGATCTTGGGCACGCACGCACACGCGCCCAGCGTGAGTTTAAGCCACTGGGTCCAGGACTCAAACTGCGGTCAACTACATGGGAGTCCAGCGACATAGCCATTATGCTAACTGCTGGTCCCCAAATTTCTCTTTTTTGTAAGAATGCCAGTTATTGGATTGGAACCCATCCTAATTTTAACTTGATTACATCTTCAATGATCCTATTTCCAAATAAGGTCTTATTCACAGGTTCCAGGTGGACATGAATTTTAAGAGATATTATTTGATCCAGTACATTACTAAGACATGGGATTATGCTAATATAGTTTGGAAATACAGAATTAAAACAAAATAATTTTAATAGTTAACATTTATGGATGCCAAATGTCTGGTACCACATATTCTCTGTACCAACGACTATAGTATTTGGTGTCTCCACTATCCCCATGTTTCAGATGAGGAAATGAAGGCTAAGAGTAACTGAGTGATTCGCCCAGGGTCAGCTCCTACCAGAGCCAGCACCTGAACCCAGGCTCTCTGACTCCAGAGGACACCTTGAACAACAGAGTTAGTCCAGTCACTCCTTAGTAATTAGAAAAATGAGTCAGCTGGTCACCTACCACTGAGACGAGCTCTTCCCACCTACACTCTTCATCAATTTTTTTTTTTTTTTTTGCATACAGCTTTTTATACTTTCAGAATGCTCAGAGCTCTGTGTCAACAGCCCACTGCGCAGGGGCAGAGCCTGCTGCAGTCCATTTGGGCTTGTAAAATCTAGCCCTTCCCTTTCCAGTAACTTCGGGTTTGGCTCTGTTCCTCAGGTCCACAGCGTCCAGTTCATGGAGTTCTCGGAAGTGGAAAACCAGGACGACTACTATAGCACAGCAGCTGGCTTTGTCCACACCCAGGACCAGCAAGGGGTGCATATCATGTATGACGAAGCCCTGAGTGATCTGAAGGAGCGAGAAGCAGAGCTGCTGCTCGTGGCCAGCCATTACATCGAGAAAGAGAAAGGTAAAAGGTCAGATTTCTACCCATCTACTGGCCAAACAACGGCCTCTAAGGGCTCTATTTGACACGCCCCATCTCAGCATATAAACACACATCCTATTGTATCTGAAAATTGAATAGGTGTACACCACCCCTTCCCACAGCACACATTCACTTTAGAAAAGATATGGTTCCAGGATCAGCAGATGGCATGATGGTTACGTTGCTGAATTCCCATGTAGTCGACCATGGTTTGAGTCCCAGACCTGGCAGTTTAAAACACATGCCACGCACTTGTGCACACGTGCTCAACATCCGGAGAGGAGAATGGAGAAGGGATTGTATCCCCCTTGGGGGGTGATTTCTTGCTTTCTGTCTCTCTGTTTCTCCCAGTCTCTCTAGCAACTGCACACACTCTATAGCAAATAAATCTGTGTGTGTGTATATATATATATATGTATATATATGTATATATACATATATATATATATATATATATATGTGTGTGTGTGTATTTCTGTTTCAAGTTCAAGACCCACTCTGATGAAGACTGTGATCACCTGATCACCATTTTAAGGCTCCGTTGTCATTCTTGCTATTGTTTAGGCTCTGCTTGTTGCCTGGGAGCCCACTGGGTACAGTTGTGGTAAACCCATGGGAACCAAAGTGAGCAAATGAAATGAATGAGTTATTTTTCTAAGCAAATGACCTTGAGGAAAACTACATTTAAAAGCAGGGCCATCCCCAGGTTCCTAATGGGAAACCACCAGGATGCAAAAAGATCTAGCTAGAAAAATACCAGACAAACCCCAGAGAGAGGAAGCATTACTCAGGGTAGTCAAGTAACCCATGATCTATCTTCTCTTTTTCCTTTTGGCATCACTTGAGTTTATCCAATTTTAGAACTACATGAGGTAAGAATATTTTTTTTGGAATAATTTGCCAGCGTTAGCATTACATTTGGAAAGAGCTTAGAATTTCTAGACATATTACAACACCTAAAGGAAAATTTAGCAAGGGTTTGTGATACTTTGTAATACACATAGACTACCATGAAGAATCATTAGTATTCATATTGTTATAAAATGCTGACTGAAGAATGATTGACAACTAACTTTTCGGATTCCAGAGAGAATTAATATATAAGATTGAATTCTTGGTCCTATCTTTGCCACAACCATTGCGATTTGAATCATGGATACAGCGATGGCATAGAATATTCCAGGGCATTTCATTTCAGTGCTTAGGTTTCATCTTTACTGGTTATCCTACATACTAATGCGTCGTTTTGTCCATATTTATTTATAATACTGCGCAACTGTTTCTAACTGCTAAGAATATAATGTGACTGAAGTCATTTAACCCCCTGGGCACCTTCCTATTTTGCTGCTAAGTATGTAGTCACCTCTCATGGAATGATTTTTCCTAATTACTGCTGCAGAAGTTCCTGACTGAAGGCTTCCTCTTGCCTAGTACTCATCACATACTTGATCATTACTGAGCTCAAACCTCAGCACCTAGGAATCTCTTAGTGTCTAATGAGTCCTTTGGATATAGTTCACTTAGAAGTTTAAAGTAATAATAACATCGGTAGTGAAAACGAACATTAATGTGGTGAAAAAATATTTTAGTTGAGTAATGACAATGATTACCTTTATTATGTTGGTAATGAACATAATTAAGAAACATTTGGGGAACTTCTCTGAAAAGTGTTGGCTTGGCTAATGGAAATAGCAGGTTAAACTGAGTTTGTTGTTAAACCGTCAGCACCAGGGACCTGTTTTTAGAAGAGGAGAAATATATGTTTTGCCTTTAAATGACAGGTTTGAAGACATTTCAGCATGGATTTCATGTTAACTGAATTTGGGTTTTGTTCCTAAAATTAGTCTTTAAAAATAAAATTGGAGAGTAAAACCACAAACGCCTGTTGACTTAGAAGTCAGCAAGGATGAACCCAGGGCCTATCTTTGCTGCTGGCTCCTTAGCTGACTTTAGGCATCCTGGTGCCCGATTCAGTATTTCCATTCCTGAGATGGAGCTGTTACTCCAAATGGCACATTTCTAATAGAAATAGCTTCTCTGGATGGTCTGTCTCTCATCACCCCACCCTTTCTCTCCTAGGTCACAAAGAGGACAGTGAGTCAAAGCCTGGCCAGGTCCGGGGATGGGCCCATCCAGGAGTGGACAGATTTGCCGTTCTGTTTGACGTGTGGACTTGGGAAGCAGCTCTTCTAGAAAATAAGCGCCAGGTACTTTTATCTAGAAAACAAAACATCTGTTAAAAGCCATTCTCGCAGGCCAGCTGCGATAGTACAGTGGTAATGCAGTGCACTGCAATGCTGAGACCACATGGGAAGATCATGGGTTCGCATCCCAAGTTCTCCCTACACATGCTGGGTGCGTGTGTATAAGCCTGTGATTCTAGTTGGCTAAGGCCAGGGGTATGTTGAGGTATGAAGACCCAATCCTGTTAGAGGTACTTGTCCCTTTCTCCCTGTTTTCCTCTCTCATGGGAAAAATATATAAATAGACTTCTAAAAAAAATATTTCAAGGGAACCACCAGTTAGCATAATGGCTATGTCACTGGACTCCCACGTAGTCGACCGTGCTTTGTGTCCCAGACCCGGTGGCTTAAAACTCACACCAGGCGCATGTGCGTGCGTGCCCAAAATCCTGAGAGGAAAATGGAGGAGAAGGGATTGTGGCGTGACCATCCCCCCGGGGGGTGATTTCTCGCTTTCTGTCTCTATGTCTCTCTCTGTCTGTCTGGCGAGCTCATGAGCCCTATAGCAAAAACCTCTCCAAAAAAAAAATTTTTTTTTCAAGACCTAGTAGTATTTTTAAATGATTCTTTGTTAAACTCAGTGGAACTTTTAGGGCAGTTCTCAATGAAAGGAATAATTTTATTTAAATAATCCCATCTGATTATAAGGATGTGAATAATAAATATTATTTCCTTAAAGATTCCTTAGCAGAGGAAACTGGAAACTGTAGTTCTTTTTTTTTTTTTTTTTTGAGAGGTTTTTGCTATAGGGTGCATGCGCTTGCCAGACAGACAGAGAGAGACATAGAGACAGAAAGCGAGAAATCACCCCCCAGGGGGGATGGCCGCACCGCAATCCCTTCTCCTCCATTCTCCTCTCGGGATCTTGGGCACGCATGCACGCGCACGCGCCTGGCGTGAGTTTTAAGCCACCGGGTCCGGGACATGAACCGTGGTCAACTACATGAGAGTCCAGTGACATAGCCATTATGCTAACTGCTATTCCCAGAAACTGTAGTTCTTCATCACAAGAAAATAAAATGTGGGGGCTGACAAGGTGGTATGGTGGTTAAGGAGGTTAGACTTCCACATGGCCAACTGTGGTTTGAGTCCCAGACCCGGTGGCTTAAAACTTATGCCAG